CTTTCAAATACTTCCGTGGAGCAAGGCGAAATGTTTATAATTGACCAAACCGACCGGTGGGGGACCCCGAGGATGGGTAAGATGGGCCTAAGGCAAGTGTATTGTAGGACTCTGCTGCAGTCTCCTTTTGTCTTTTGCCGAAGTTAAGACAGTGATAACGCATGGTCCCTAACGTTGGAAGTACTGTCTGACGCATCTGCCTCTCAGTCCGATGGACAAGCAGTCATCAAAAGTGATTGATTGATTAAGATGAAGGAAGAATATTTCGCATAGATCTAACTAAAGTTTTGTTGTTTAACCTCAGTGGCACCTTGCAAAACGCACTTTGACGCTAGAACTGCAGAGCTTCCATACAATTTTGCCCTGGCAATAATACTAATGTACCAAAGTGTAGGGTGCTGAAGCTCCTGATAGATTTGCGAGAGTCTGTCATGCATCGGATGAAGGCTATTCTGCAGAATGTTCTTATCCATGTGAGTGCATTGAAATATCACTAAATCCACCTAACGTGCCTCAGTAGATCATTGTGTGAAAAACCACTGATTCTAGAGACTTGTTTGTGAGACTTTCTCTAGAGACTAGAGATTAGTTATCTCCTTTGTCCCGTTAAGTCGCATTTCGCAGACCTTGGAAGGTCACTGCTAATGCTTTTGTAAAAACTAGTGGAATGCACGCAGAGGTAAATTTTCTAATGACAGAAAATCATCTCGTGTGGTTTATAAAGATTTCTCAGACGCTTTACTTAAAATGAAGCCAAGCAACGCTTGGTCACAAATGACTACGTTCACATGGGTAGATGAGGTCAGGTGGCAAAATGACACCTGAGTATTTAGCACTTTTACATGAGTTAACTGGACTGTTGATGAAAGAACTGAAATGTGATGAAAGATCAAGAATTGTTGAGCTCTTCGTGTATCGCATCACGTATACCCATCCTGTAGTTTTATATCCATTCGAGAAATCACAGGGTACTGGCAAGTGTTCCTGATTTTTGAGATTTATTAGGATTTACGAATCTAAACCATCATTATTCTTTTTAAAAATTTACCTAAATTGTTGAACCTCTTCTGTCCTCTTGAAGTTATATGTTGTTTGGTTTCATTTCTTTGCTTTGACTTATTGTGTTTTCAGTAAATATATTCATTCATTCCAAAAGCCTGTCTTTTCTTTTAGGGGGGGGGTAGCGATACAACAGCTTCAGGACGTTGTTCAGTTCATCCGCTAATCAAATAGGTCTCGTGGTGTGAATTCTAGAATGATTCCAGAATAATGTCAATTATTCTATGTGAATTGGCGGTTTGGTTATCAATCTGACTCTTTTTCAAAATGAATCTAAATTTGGAATTTTATGACGATGCATTAAAATTTTTTGAACACCGGTGTGACTGTTTCGACCGAATTGCCATCGGTACCTTATTTTAAAATAACAACTTATTCCGAGAGGCTTTGACGAATTTCTCAGTGCTGAGAGAAAACTTGCATTTTATTAGAACATTAGAGTAATGCACTGTAGATGGTCACTAAATATTGTCTCTACTGGCATCGCCACCTAAAAATGACAATGCTTCAATAACAGAGGTCATCTTGATTGCACATGTATGGCCTCTGCTGTGCGAACATTGTCATTCCAAGATGGCGATGCCTGTAAAAGCATATGTATATTTTTTGACTCTTGTTTGCAGTATATTGCTGTAATAAAATTTGGGAGTTTACTTTAAGCACGAGAAGTTCGCCATAACTTTTGACTTCATAATTGAAAGTTTTTTTTGATTGCTGCAATTCAGAATATTTTTTGCCATTCTTCGGACGCTCATTAACAAAGCAAAAAATGCCATAAGAATTTCTCTTGATCATCAAAGGTGGGAGGAGGGCTAGTTGATTTCGACGAATAATAACAGGAATATACAAGTGAGCCATGTACCTCAGCCTAGACCGAAGTCATACACGCGGTAAAACTCTTTAATTGCCGCAGGGCCGGTGAAATTATTAAAATCTTTTAGGTTATTAGTTGTAATTTGCTCTCCACAAATCTATCTTCTGCGTAGTTGTTTTAACGGATAACTGTTGAAGTAGAAGATCGCATGCACCCCATGGCCTGCATGACCAAATTTTATTTTTTTGTTAGGGATGGTCTAATATTAATCCGAAAATAGTTTCCTAACTAACGGGACTGTGGTAATCGGGTATTCGCTGCCATCATCCTTGTTAATCTCTGAACAAGGCGTGGCGAATTCCTCTCATCCTGTCGTCATCTATCTGTTAGGCTAAAAACGATTACTTATTGCTACACCGGAAGCAGGTATTGACGACATTGGATAACCGACATAAGTTGTTTGAGAGCATGGATGATCATAGCCGGTAACATGCGATAGTCTAATTGTTTTGCCTAGATTTATGTGCTCACCATATTTTTTTGAACAGAGGTTGATGACTGTTGTTGTTGTTAATATTGATTTTCTATTTTATCCTAGACCAGCACAAAATCAACCCACATTACTAATTGCATGTAGGTGATTTCAGGTACTTATGGCGTCGTTTACAAAGGACGACACAAAACAACCGGCATGATGGTAGCGATGAAGAAAATTCGACTGGAGAACGATGATGAGGGAGTGCCGTCGACAGCCGTTAGAGAAATTTCGTTACTAAAGGAACTAAGACATCCAAACGTGGTCAGGTAATGACGTTTCTATTTATAAAAAAAAGTATTTGTCTAATTTCATACTTCGTTTAAGACTCGAAGAGGTGATCATGGAGGAGAACAAGTTGTACCTGATTTTTGAATACTTGTCAATGGATCTGAAAAAGTATTTGGACGCTATTCCAGATAGCGAGTTGATGGAGCCGATGCTGGTTAAGGTGACAGCTCCTTTTAGAGGGTCTGCCGTCGTTCTTGCTTATGCAGGCTTGCGTTTCTAGAGCTATTTGCATCAAATTCTCGAGGCTGTCTGTTTCTGTCACGAGCGTCGTATCATCCATCGCGACTTGAAGCCCCAAAACTTACTCATTGACAGCAAAGGAGTCATAAAGTTGGCGGATTTTGGTTTGGCAAGAGCAATCGGTGTTCCAGTACGAGCGTATACTCATGAGGTCAGTTCAGTAAAAGAAAAAGCATCGCTTGTGTTTTTGGAAGCGGATAAATCTCCTGGTTCCAGGGATTACATCAAAAAGGCCAGGAAATA